GAGCATTATAACAATTTTTTTATTTAAAATTATAAAATTTAGATTTAATATCTATGTGGATATTAAATAAAATTAAAATATGATATAATTTATATTTTATATTTAGTTCCTTAAAATATTAAATATTATAGTTAATTTCTATATGTCAAAAGAATCATATTATATAAATAAATATAAGTTTTTATTATTAAAATAAAATAACTGATTCACACAAATAGCTTTTTGTATAAATAAGTATAGATCAATTAATCAATAAAAATTTTCAAAATACTTTTTATTGCTAAAAGCATCAAATAAAGCAAGGATTTGATGGATAAAAATTATATGATTCAATCAAAACTGATAGTATAATATATATATATATATATATATATTAATTTTTCTTTAAAATTTTAAAGGGTTAAAATCAGAATTATTTTAAAATATTATACAAAAAATATAGTTTTATTTTAGTTTATTTTTTATTTGCTTTAGTAGGAGAAATCAAAAATATCATTGTGTCCATCATGTTTTCTTTTGTGATGATTCTACTTTTCAATCATATGATAATCTTAATAACAACTTAAGTCCAGTAAAATGTGTTTTATATATCATCATTTTATTTTCTTTGCAGCATAATTATTATTGAAAATGTAAATCTATAATCAAATAAAAACTATATTTTAATTTTTTGAAACCTCAAAGTATCTCATCCTGGGTGACCTTGCTTAAAATAAATGTGTGAATTCTGCACTTATTTATCTGTATTTAGTTGCATTAAAGGAGGATTGTTTGTGGTTGAATTGTGCAGAGTATGTATTAACATTTTCTCAGTGCTTTAGGTGTCATTTTCAATTTCTTTTCTTTTGTTCTGTTTTTAATTCACATTCATGTCTCAGTTGAAATGTAGCCATTATGTATATGTTGGATCAATTTGCTCCTAAGTCACCATTGTTGTAAGAGGCATATCTGGCAGACCTTGATTGTCTCAATGAAGCTAAGCAGACAGTGACATCAGGCAATACCTAAGCACAACTTGACTGCAGCACTGAGCCAACACACACAAGCCATTCATCAAGAACATACAACTCTAATGTAGAACACAATAATGGGTTAGTGACTACTAATGATGCTCATTAAGAGAGTTCACAAATGTGAGAAGTTGCATTTAAACTACTTATTCAAAACCATAAACACCAACCATAACACCCACATAAACAAAGTACTTCATGGATGCACCTTGGTTTTGGGTAGTAGCACATTCCCCTAACTCTATGCAGTCTCTGCTATTCATTTCCTCAGTTACTCTGTGAAGTGCATGCCTGTGGTACCCAAGGCTCTCCAATGCACCACTACATTCCTGAGCCCAAGCTTCTGCTCATATTGAAGAGTTAACACTAGCAAAAGCAGCTGAAAAACACTGCAACATTTGCAGTATTATCATCATTATTATGGTATAAACCTAGTATGTTAAGATGAGTTACAACTCTTCATTCAGGGTGCACATTCCTGAGCAACTTATATAGCTGTATGAATTTTCAGTGTGAGAATATCATAATTTGAAGGAAGCAAACAAACTTGGCAAAAGTGGGTAGTTTTTGTGGTGATGACATGGATTCAAATTGTGATCATAACAGTTCAAGAACACCATGTACAGTTCTCTAAGTAATTCCTTTTAAGATTCTGGAATTTTGGTGTTCCAGGGGCATATCTGAAACTATTTAGACATATCTCATACTTAAGAAATTTAGGGGAAAGTCACAACTATATTGTGATAACATAGACCCTCAGAATAATAAGAAATGCAATTGCCATTTAGGTGGGTGGTGCTGTGCAAAGGACTAAGTTTGACCCCATCAGAGACAAATATTAGAAGTAGTAGTATTCAAATAGAAAGAGTCCTTTAAGTTAGACAATAATGAAGCAAGGTACTTACCCTGATCTGTCCATGGCTTGATTTCCAACTTCCAGATGTCAAATCTGACTATACTGATAAACATGACAAGCCTGTGCTGTAGCCTGCTGAGAGCTGAATATGACGTTGTGCAGAGCACTGTTGTGCAAAAGACATTTGGTCTATTTAACCTGTTGCCATGGGTAGTTATGATCGATCACTGGCAGCATCACCACAGCAGCGTCGGTGATCGAAGATCTTTGGAACGATGTTGATTGAAGGGTGCTTCCAGAAACACCGGTCTCTCCTCACTGGACTGGGTGAGCGTGCAGGGTCCCAGTTTGGCATCTGTGCTTTTGAAGGGATGTATAACCGTTCGGAGATCTGAGTTGCGTAGCACCCCCAAGGAATCTACCAACACAGCGTGAAATCCCCGTCGGCGGAGCTTCATGTCCTGTGTTGAGCTAAATGTTATGAAAAGGAATAAAGTTGTCAATCCTGCTGCCTAAAATAGTGCTCCCGAAAGTTCGAGGTTCCAGATGGCTAAATTTGCGGCTCACAAATCAACAGTAATTGTGACTCTTCGAATTCTCGAAATCTTATTACCAAAGTTACAACCTGTAAGAAGCATTTTATTGATTATGTCGAGGATTTAAACCTCAACCCTGTTAAGGTAGAAGCTCAGGCTGATGGTGCTTTTAGGCAAGTCTGACGATGACGAACGAACTCTTCAGCTTCTCAAAATTCTGATCCCTAAAAGATCCAGCATGGGTCACAAACTTCGCTGGCTGCAGGAAGAAACTGTGCCACTAGAATTGGTTCATCGATGGGATTACTGTACCGTGGACTACAGACAAAACCTGCCGGAGGCTTGCTGGTCCAAGAGAAAGTTACTTCCATGTCCTCTCTAATCAGATCTGACTGAGTTACCTGTCATATATGTATATTTTTAAAGATTCAGCTTCTACATTCGTTTAATAACGTAGTAAGAGTGACATTTTCATTTCCCAATTATGAGGCAAACTCTACAAATAACATTCTGTCCAATCCCAGCGACTATATCACCAGCACTTTACAAGCTGATCCAATAAAAAATCTGCACGCGGAAATTATTTGCAGAAAAGAACAAAGAATCTCACAAAGACCCAGATCATGTGGCATCCGACGAGAAACGACAAGGATTATCTCGAAAGAATGGATGCAGTGCTTGCTTGAGCCTCTGTGTGAGCCACCAGCTTACCAGTGGACTCATTGTGATTATTCTGCTTGATTAAGTGGCTTTTATCTTTGTAAACAATTCGCCTTTATGAACCTGTAATTATTGAGATTGGTTCTGTGTTAAGTTGCATTATTCATATCCTCGTGTTTCCTTACTGTCAAGAAACAGCTCATACAACAGAGCTCACTTGATCTCAGGTTATAACTCTGAAGAACTATCTACAGTAGGTTGCCCCCTCCTCTGTGAGAAAATGTTCACGTTCAGTTGGAACCTCAAGGACGATCCACGACTGGGACTTGAGGAAATCAGAAAACAGCACAACTGCAGACCGACTAGCCCCACCGTATTCCTCGAGCCACATAATGCAAAAGTTTTTAGAAATATTAAGTATGTTTTTAAGTCGATGCCTGCCACGAATTAGAAACAAGTTCCCGAAGGCTGCTGAATGCATCTCTTTCAATTAAGAGTAGTAATAATACAGGTTTGAACCAAAACAAACGGGGGTTTGCAACAGATAGCCCACCTCATCATCCATCAGCTCATCACAACACTGCTAGCTTATTTTGTGATGCAGAATTAATCGATCTCTGCTAAATAGGTTCCTGTTTCCGGCAAGGACATGTGATCTGTCCTACAAATTAGGTGAATTAAATATAGTAACTTTAAGCGCCCATCATCATGCATCTACTCTATAAAAGGCATGTTCGATTTTAGGGGTTCCTTGACGCTGGTAAGGTTTAGAAACCAGTCTCTAATCCTCAATGGTTGCAACTTCAGTGATGGAAAACAGAAAGGAAGGAAATTTTTGGACTGCGTGAATGCTGGCTCCACTCTACTCGGAAATCCACAAAAGCGGGCTCAAGACCAAGAAAGACAGCCTGTGTGCATAATACCCTTCCAAGTTCATTCAATATTTTTCGCCTTTTTTATGAGGTGATGAAGTGAAAAGTTAAAAGAGAAAAGAAAGATTGTCTGTGACACGAGTCAGGACAGGATGCACTGAATAGGCAAGCTACTCTAAGGATCCCCTTCAGCAGCCTGGCCTCGCAGAGTGCGGCTGCATCCATGCTGCCTTGGGGGAAGCTTGTCTCCCAAAAAGAATTAAAAACATCTCCTAAATATACTAGTAAACCACACAAAACCTATTTAAACTCGCTCCATTAAATTCAGTGCCATCCGAGATAAGGCTTCGAACATTTTCTTTCTGTTCGGAACAAGAGAGGACTTTATTTATGGATTGTCTCACCCACCATTCTCCCCAAAATAATTCTTTAATTTATTATTGTCAATTAAAACTGAGATGCTTGGTTTTCACACATATTCCAGGGATTTTGTTTTATTTTAAATTATTCCACACCTAATCCTCTTCATTCTTTTTCAGTGCAGGATTGAGCAGGTGACTTCAGGGTAATATTATTGTGTTCTCAGACAAATTCATTTGTGGAGAACAAACTCAACGTAGACTTCTGAGCTGTTGAAGGAATTACCCACTTTTAAAAGATTTGAGAAAAAGGAGGGACAATTGTACCTTGCTGCCTCTGAACTGGAGTAAATATTCTCAATCATGGATCATAAATAATGAGGGGGGCAGGGGTCGGGGCTGAGTGTCACTTTGGATGATTGTAGGTTGTAGATGCCCCTGGACATACAGGTCCATATCCATCAACTCCTTTATCTGTCATCTCAGCAGCCATTGTTATGAAAAATGAAAAGCTTCCAAAAGTGTGGAGTGGTATTGACTGTATTGTAGTCTTGTTTAAACCTTTTTAAATGTCTCCATGGTTGCAGTGAAGAGCTTTTCTCCCCAATCGAATCTGAAGAGGTATTTTGAGAGACCATTGAGAAACTAAGAAATGAAAAGTAAAACGGTTGGGAGTGGATGCTAGGACAGCATTGTTAGAAAGTGAATATCCACATGTAGGGATTCATAATGTGCCGAAATGAAAGTCCTCATTGTGAGAGATAGCGAGAGAGATATGAAGTTTTACCTCTGACTTCTATCTAGAATTGCCCACAAACAGGAGGGATGTGCTGCGCAGACTACCCCTGATGTAGCTGCTGCAGGCAGCCTCTTCCTACCAGGGATGCCGTACATGGTCCTCTGCCAGCCCTTTAACGGTCTAGCCAACAAAGATGCTATTTCACACTGGACGTCTGGATCGTTTCACATAGCTTGGTTCCATCATTCCTTCACTAAAACATTCGCCCATCCTCTGGATTTTCTCAATCATCATACACGCTGTCCCGCACTTCCTAGTTTCTCTTCGATTCCACAACCACATCCGTCTTGTGGCAGAAGCATGTGTACTTGCAGACTGGACTGATGTGTGTTACAGTACTGTTTAGCATGTTTTGAAGAGGTGTTGTCCACAGGTGCAGTGGCATTTGCAGATCTGAGTGCGTTCAAGGTTTCTTACAATCATTAACACTCTGGCTACGCAGAAGGTGTGGCTGGAGGACTGGACGATGTCATTCAAGAGTGGAATTAATTGATGCAAGCAAGGTGGAATTGGAGAGCTGCGCCTTATTGATACTCTAGCTGGAGTTGAAGGTGGCGTCCTAGAAGAGCTGCAGCGTCAGTGGTGCGTTCTGTGTGTCAGGTTTCAACTAGTTTGCTAATTACAGCGGACGTGGATTCAAATCAATTTGAGGAGTTGAGAAGGCGAGAGCTTGAGAAAGTCGCTGCAAGATGGTGGGCAAAGTACAGGCGTCTATAGCTGGTGCTCACGGCAAGCAATCTGCTCACCATGCCATGGTAGTTCCCCGAAGCAGTCATCACACCCTAGTGCCGGAGGCAGTGGGACGTTCGCGGTCCGTTTCAAATAAGCCGAAATCCACTAGCATCAAAAGGGCCAGAAAAGTTCAAGAGGGGAGGTATAGAGGGGTGCGGCAGCGGCCGTGGGGACGGTATGCGGCTGAGATCAGAGACCCCAATACGAAGGAGCGGAAGTGGCTTGGCACTTTCGACACCGCTGAGGATGCAGCTCTCGCTTACGACACTGGTGAGAACATCCTTTTTCCATTGAGCGTTTGATTGCGGTGGTGGAGAACCGATGAAGCGTATCCCTATCACAGAGAGAGCTAAGATCACCTACATTCTTTGTCCTGCAGCTGCGAGATCCATGAGAGGAGTTAAGGCACGCACCAACTTTGTGTACCCTTCACATGAGACTTCTCTTCTTTCCGCAGCGGCAGCATTGGCGGCGCCCTACAGAAATTTGCAGCACAGCGCACAGCATCAGCAAGTGGATGTGATCGCACAGGAGACTCTCGGGGAAGTGTTGATGCTCTCGACAGCCAAAAATTCTCACAATTACGATTGGGGTAATACTCAGCTGAGTTTTGACGAACCTTCCCGCAAATTGTTCAACGTACAAGCAACACAAAAGCAACCGATGGTTGGATACAAGCTGCCTGGACATGGGTGTAGGTACGTGGATAGAAAAATACAACCAGCTTCTCAACTGACTTGTCTTCCCAATACTCTCCACAGCAACTTGCAGGACCAAAGAGCTGCAATCCTCACAAGTTCCTTGATCAATGATGTGGAGGTGGACGGCTTCAGGATTAGTCCGGGGAAGCAAGAGCAGTGGCATTGCGTCCCTGGCGAACACCAACAATTTCGTCTCGACCAATTCAAACGGAGTCCAATTGTTAACTCTGAGTTGTTTGTATCACGTTTTTGCGCCGCAGTATCCCAACCGTTTCAGGTAAGACACATTCTTCACTTTCAGACCGGAAATCTCTATGTTGTTTTCAAAGCATTGTGAAATGGCATCTTAAATATTCAAACTTGCTTCAGGCTTCGAATTGAAGGGTGGTGGTTGTGCATTGAGTAGTATGAAGATGTACATCTTGTTTTTGACTTTTTCTGCAAGTTATCTCACAGGGTCAATGCTGTCAGCAGTGCAGTGTATTGGAAATATGCAGCATGACTCTGTGAATTGCGATGTATCCTTGCAATTTACTTACATTGCTGGATTTATCACCTCTTTGTCAACTTCTTCTGCCAGGTCTCTCGGAACGATGATATTAAGATTCCTTCCGAAAGCGTCTCGCCGTTAAGTGAATCGAGTATCTTGTGCGATGAAGTTCCCATGAAAACTTCTCTGTCCCAAGCGCCGAGACAGCTGCAGTTCGAGTCTGAAAATTCAAGTGGGACACTACACCAGGTAGTGTCCAAGTATGTCGACTCAAGCGGACCCACTGCAACCATTGCGCTCGAGGAAACTTCCGTTGGATGCGTGGTTATGAAGTCTAAGGAATGTTTGCTCTCCACGCAAGTTCCGTGCTCAGACGAATCCTCATCCTCGACATCTGCAGTATCACGCTTCAATACAGATACTGCGTCTTCGCCCACCACAGTTGCTGCTAGCAGCCCAGGACTGTTCTCTCTCTCTTCAGAAGTCGAATCGACTTACAGTGGCCCTTACTCCTCAGAGGCCTGTCACCAACCGAGTGCTGCCCTGATGTTGAATACATCTTTATGCCGAAATCCGGACAATTTGGAAAGCATCCTGCCTCCTAGTCTCTTAACCAACTGGGAGTATCATGATGCTCCTCTCCATGCAAGCTGGGTGTGGGACATGCCTATTCCTCATACTTCCGCATCCGTGACAGCTCTGCATAGTACTACAACAACCTCCAGGGCGGACACGGTCACAAAATGTGATCCTCATCACAACACTTGGCAAAATCTTTGCGAGCTACCAGATACCATAGCACAGTTTCTCAGCTGCGATTCAATTGATAGCAATGTGTCACAAGAGCAGTTACTTCATCGTCTATGCGAGACGGAATCTACGATAAATCATTGGAAAATGAATCCTGAAGGTGTTAGGAAGAACTCAGAGGGTTTCAACCCAATGATAGACTGGGGAGTATCCAGGGGCTGCCAAGAGTCTTCGTCTGCGGCGCATGCACTAACGGACGCCGATGCCACGGAATTGTGCAATGATGTGTACATGCTTGATAATGTGCATGATGCGACTAATTCCACAATAATACAATGTCCATTGTATGATGATGAATATGTTTTTCAACATCTAATGGAGGAGTCCACCCTCAACGTTTGATCTCATGTCAACAGCAATTTTTGGGTTCATCTTTGCCTTCGCTGGCCAATTCTGATTCTAGATCCATGATGGATCGGTTTCTAGCTGTTGCGTAGGCACTTGAAAGACTTTTTTTCAGAGCCACGTGTAGAACGAGTAGACTCGTGGGTAAGCGATGCTTTTGTACAGAATCTTACTAGTGCATTTTTTATAGCAATGTGTTCATGATGATCGGATAGGATTATGTGCATGGAGAAAGCGGAGCTGCCTTGGAATGACAGGGTAGTTATTTATTTCGCTTAGTACACAGATTTTCATTAGCTAGCCTTAGGATTCTCGTAATACACTATGGAACTACAACTGTGGCTCACTTCTGCAAGTTGATGTGAACTTCAGTGCTTATGATTTCAAGATCCCACTGGTATGGGAGCATTGTCAACATATTATTTGTAACACAAAGTCGGCACTTCTGAAGCTATTCATTACACACGTTGCCCGTTGGAATGTGCTACAGCTATGCATACCACCTCGAAGAAGTTAAGATAGTCCTTTTGCATGATTTACAATGATACTTGCATCCATTCATATGTTAGTTACGAAGAATTATATCTAGTCCCGGTACACAATGTTGAAACACACGAATGTTCACTTCATATTTTTCAATGTATTCAAGTCGCTCTCTCATTCATCCTGTCCACTCAGATAAGGTTATACGAATGACCACTTGTTGGCATTATCATTTCTAGGCACAAGTATCACTTCTAATGCAGTATCACTTTTGGCTGGTAACACTTTTAAAGACCACATTTCAATTGGAATCTCTAATATATAATGTAATTTTGATTCTTAGTAAAAGTATTAGCAATAATGTTGTTTTTCTGTTCACTTGGTATTAAAGCAAGTTTAGTCCAAGTGTTGTTTATATAGATGTGAAATTTCCTTATAACACTCAAGCTCTATTGGAAAACTCTAGTCAGAAAAAAAAAAAAAAAAAAAAGTTGCAAAACTAGAAAAGAGATTAGTATTAGAATTATTTTAAATTATACTTTATAAGAGATGTATTTTAGCACAAGGCTATTTTGAAAAGATAAATAAATAAGATGTCTACAATAGAAGGCATGAAAGTAGACAATTATTTATAAAAAATGAACTTTAGTTTTTGTGCCATATAGTATCCATGTATATGTTAATGAGATGAATTTAATGTACATTGTTCTAAGTAGACTACCTTTAAGTTGGTTTACTTTTATATCAATCTTTGGCATTGATCTAATGAAGGCTTTTCTATCTAAGTACATCAATATGGTCCCATGATTGTAAGTTGAAGAATTTTGAAAGTAGAGACAAAATAATGAGGTAAAAAAAAAAATCTTGCTAACTACAAGGTGCTTTTCTAAATATTTCCTTGTTTGTAAAAGAAAGCTTATGATTATATATAAATAAAATGAGTCATATGATTCTCTTTATATTTTACATCTAGATTGATACCTCAAATTGATTATTTAATATTATTATAAAATAAAAATATTAATATAGTATATGATTATTATACAACAAAATATAATTACAACAAAAAAACTAACCATTGAATACATAATGGATAGCCATATTTATTAGTATATTTACTTAGATAAGTAGAATTATATAGAAGTAAGTAAAAGTAGGTTAAATTATTAATAACTTATTAAAAAACTTCTAAGAAGCCTTATAGACTTTATACATATTTATAAGTAATTGATAGATTAATAATTTGGCAAACAAGTTGGCTACATGTTATTCATTTAGCTACTTGTAGTACAAGTTGGCCATATAACATACATGTTGAAAACTTTTCTTACAAATTAGACATGTGTTCTATAAGTTGGATACATGTCATATGACATGTAGGAAATTACTATATAGTTCTTAAATATATAGTATATATAGAGACAAAAGTAAGACCTTCATCAATCTTTTTAATATTTTTTTTGTATGAAAAAGTATTAATAAGAGATATTTGGTATAAAATAAAAGTATAAAAGAATAAAAAGAAGATGAATGTATAAAAATTATAGAAATTTTGATATAATAATATAGTCTTTAAAAAATCAAGAGATCAATTGTTTAATTTTAAAAATGAATAAAGATATTTGTATTTTTTTAATTTTCAATTGTCTTTCAAGTGAGGACGTTTATTATCTTCCAACATCTTTTGTCTTCAATTAAAAATACTTATTTTCTTTTGATATACATTATTTTTGGTTGAAATCTATGTTACAAATATACATATTTATTTTAATATTTATCTATATGATTAAATAGAAGTAGGAAAAAGAAGATTTATTTCATAATATTTTATAGAGAAGCTTCCTAAAAGCTTTATAGATGGTGCTTTGATTATACATATGTTTATAGTTGATTAATAGGTTAAAAACTTGGTCAATAAATTAACCATGTATTGGTAGCTTAGATAATAGATAATTTACTTTCTTTAAATTAACCATGTATTATATTTTAAGGCATCATGATCCACATAAAACACAAATAGATAACCCAACAAATAATCCCAAAATTTTTGAACCAAATATATCATGCCCAAAGCTTCCCATTTAGTATTAGTATAATCTCGTTTGGCAACCACTAATTGTCGACTGACATAATATATTAGATGATCTAAGTCCTTTTCATCCTTTTGACTTAACACAGATCCAACAGCAGTATTGGATGCATCAATATACATATGAAATGGCTTTGTCCAACAAAGGGCCACTAATACTAGTCCAGATATCAATTTTTGCTTCAATTCTTCAAATGCTACTCTATAGTCCTTGGTCTAAACAGGATTGGTTCCATCCAACAGAGTTTTTTTTAAAAGATTACTCAAAAGTTGACAGATGACTGCAAACAAATGAATAAATCGATGATAATAACTGACATGGCCGACAAAACTACAAACACTTGATATTATTTCTAATCTTGGCAGATTCATTATATACTGAACTTTATCTAGATCAGTGGCAATATCACATTTGGAGACTATGTGTCTTAAGAGTTTTCCAAACGGAATACTAAATTGACATTTATTAGAGTTCAATGATATTATGTATATAGCACATTGATCCAAATATTTGCTTAGGCATTTCACATGATCATGTTTTATACTAAAAGTACAAAAGTCATCTAAAAATATATCCATAAATATTTGTAAGTAATCTTGAAATGCTTGAGTCATCAACCTTTGAAATATGGCTAGAGCATTACATAATCGAAATGGTATAATGCGATAAGCAAATGTTCTCTAGCCCGTAGTGAAAGTAGTCTTTACCTAATCTTCTTTTGTAATTTTAACTTGATTATAATCAAAATAACCATCTAAGAAAGAAAACATTCATGCCTTGCTACAACATCTAATATACTATCTGTAAAAGATAATGGAAAGTAATCTTTTTTTGTAGCCGTACTTAGTTTCCAGAAGTCCTCACAAATTCTAATTTTTCTATTCTTCTTTGACACTTTCACGATTGGAGAAACCTACTCACTATTCGATACTAGATAAATAAAACCAACCTCAATAAGCTTGTCTAATTCTTCTTTCACTATTAAGAAATATTTTGGATTAAGTCAATATTGCCTCTAACAGACATGTTTAGCATCTTCCTCTAAAATGATCTGATGCTCGCAAACTTCCATGTGGATATCTTTTAAATCTGTATAAGTTCAAGCAAAAGCAAATTTATAGTGAATGAAAAATTCTTTCTAACATGTCAATTCCTGATTCTGAATACCTTAATAAATTTTAATTTTGTGAGACATTTCATTTCTTGCCAAGTTAATAATTTGATATAAAGGTTCAGTTGTCTTTTCCTATGTCAGCTCCCTCATTGATTTTGATCCATTCGTTAAGTCCAATATATTGAAGGTACTCAATTTTGATTCCGATGCACTGACCTGATACCTATCATATTTGTTCATCCAATCTACAATAATATGATCAATTTTTTTTATATTTGGTAGATATATCAAATATTCTCTCAGTCTTCCACATTGATACATCACCCCATAATACTGAGCTATCTTAAACAATGTTCCTTCCTTTGGTATGATAACATCTTCATCAAAATTGAGCTCATCGTTTGATGTCAATTCAGATACTAACATTTGAGATTCTCTATAATAGTATACCAGATACATTTGTAACACTATCTTATCTCTGCTTCTTTCAATCGTCAAAATACCATGATCCTAATCATTCTTGGCTTTTGTTGATAAAGCCAAGATCGTTCCAATAAAATCAAATATGATAAAATTGAATGTCGTAATTGAAAAATGATACAGTCTATTTTGTATTTAATATTAGTAATTATGATTTGAATATTTTACAAGATACCCATTAGTTTAACCTAGCTATGAATTGCCATCCATAATACCAATATTGTGGCTACTAAATGTGTTTAATCTAAAGCATCTATTGTATCTACATTAATTAAATTGACCGTGTTGTATTACGTGTTGTCTTGCTTAAGAATGCACCGAGCACCTAGCTATGGAAGGTGACATTGTCTTTCATAAGTATCCAAAAAACTCTAATAGGTTTCACCAATACGAGAAAAATATAATCTGAATTTTAATTCAAAAGTGCTTAAAATACTCTTCTTAGTAGCCTTAACCATACATAAATCCCAATTATCTTGTTATTTTCATATTAAAGTAATTTAGATTTTTCTTCTAAGCCCCAATCCTAATTAGTGAGCTTTAACAAGCTGTAACATCCAATCAGACCATCTACTTGATGTAAAATTTTGTAAGCAATTGTCAATATAAGTCTTCTATATGCTCAAGAATTTGTAGTCCAATCCAACTTACAAATTGAGAGAAAACCTCCAAAAATTGCTTTGATGTCACTCAATGTCAAGGACAAGAACTCAATGAAAAATCAATTCAGACAAGTGAGCCTTCACTCAAATAAAGGTAACAAAATATAAATAAATAAGTATATATATTGAAAGAGAAACTAGAATGGCTATTGCCAAAAGACAAAAAAACTAGAGACATTTGAAACTAGACTGAAAGCAAGAAAGGACTTGACAAGAGTGAAGAAGCCTTCATTCTTGTCTCTATATATATACTATCTAACTAGGAGCTAAGTGGCGACGTTCTATAGAACCTCCAATATGTGTTGACTTTGTAGGACACATGCCTTGACTTACAAGACAAGTTTTTCTACGTGTGGGCCACATAGTTAGCTTGATCTTCAAGCTAACAACATGTGTGGCACATGGCCAACTTGTTGTCCACGTTTCTAATCCAAAAAGTCAATTAAAGACACCTATGAAGTCAAAGCAGCGTCTATGAAGCTTCTAGGAAGCTTCCATATTAAATACTATAGAATTAATTTATTTTTACCTCCTTGTATATGTAATTACTAGTTTATATGAGTATGTCCATGACATTACCCCCCCTTTTAGGAACGAGTTCCACGAGGAGTGGTCATCATATGTTGAAGAAATC